AAAGCAGGGAGAAGCGCTGGGTTCTCATCTCTGCTACAAAACCCGCATGTGTGTTTTCTGCAGAGGCCATTTGTAGCACCAGAAACCTCTCCCGGTGACTGGAGGAGCGTGACTGTGCCATGGGACTCTGTGGTGTTTATTTACACTAACCAGTGCTATCTGTGCTCCTGATGGGAATACCATCCTGGGTTTATCCCAAAAGGCTGAGGGAGCAGCAGGGCATGCCCCCTTGACACCCTGGGAAGGAGGCAGATTTAAGACTCAGTCCAGTTACTGCATTACTGATCCCTCTGCAGCAGCATGTGGTCCCTGCCATGAAAACACAAGTTGTTCAGCTGCTTAAACCAGGGCTTCGGTTCCACTGTATTGACCGGATGTTCTAATTGCCTCCCAAAGCTATGACAGTTTTATGCATTTAGACTTTAATTACCTGTCCAGGGCGAGGGAAGATGAAATGCCCCTCTGCAGACAGCAAGTGCATGGAAGCCTTACTTCATTTGTGTGGGACTCGAAACTGTCATCAGATTTCAAATTGGATTTCATTCTCAGGGGGATAGCGGCACAGTTAAGTAAGAAAACACACCAATTTTCCTGTTCTCCCATCTGCCCAGACAGACCAGGCTATCCGTGGTGTATTTCTGCTTAAGTAATTATGGAGGTTCCAGACTATGAACTGACTTAATAAATACCAATTTTTGCCATCTTTTTTAATCTCTTGAGACCTTGTTCTTGGTGAGGTGTAACAGCAAGCCCATCAATCAGCCAGACATGCCAAAAAACAGATGCCAAAGGGATAACAAATAAAGAATTAACAGCTATCCATCAATATGCCTGCCTTCCTCCAGACCTCCAGTGACCCTTGCAGTCAGAATCTCTCAAAGCAGTAACAGAAGAAAAAAGGGGGAAGGGAAATAGATACTTATTATGAGTTATTTTGTCCATGAGATTAAAGAGATTTTTCTCTGCTACAGTAGTATCTGGGCCTTCATATATGGCTTGGTTACTCTGCAAGATCAAAGAGCGTGGTCTGCTCATCCCTCAAGTTATGGAGGATAATGAAGGGAATCAAAGAGAAACACGAGGCATTGGAAATGAGAGGGTAGTTTGTGTCCCAGAGCTATTTTGTAACAGCGATCATCCTGCAGCAGGCTTCAGAAATGACAAGCTCTTCACTGAAACCCACAGAAACCGTGAAACCAAAATCTTAAGATATCCAGGGGCTGAAGGATAAATAAGACAGGGCCAGCTGTTATGTATAAAACTACTGCCAGAGTAGGATACTGCCATTGTAAGCCTTGGAGACAAGAAAGCAGTTCCCACATAACGCATCAGTCAGCCAGCCTCCTGGCTAATAAATCCTTGACAAATGCATGCCCTAGGCATGTGCAAAACAGGGCTTATGGGAGGGGTCAGTACCTGCACAACATTCCCTTGAACACAAACCCACACCAGCTGGCACTGGGAACTGAGAGCTCGAGTCATCTGGACATGTGTAGTCTTCATGATCATAACCTAACCAACAAAATCTTAGTAAAGGACATGGATCTGTGGATGACCGATTGGCTAAAACGACAGCACTCAGGTGATGGGACAGCTCTTCCGGCCCTTGCTGGAAGCATCGACAGTTTCTTTACACTCAGAGCTTTTCCACTCACTTTGGAAAGAGAGAAGCGCCTCTCCAAAGCTGACAGCACCAAGTTTTACTCAACAACAGAAGTGATCTAACGGTGGGTACCTGCTGCGATGCAACATACTTGTTTATAGATTGTAATTATTACAGGGTAGCTGCTGTGCTTCTAGTTCTTGCTGATTTTGTTTTGGCTTGTCTTCTCTCATTTAAATGCAGAACACGGGTAATGCAAACAACAACTGTGTGAGCTATAGAAAAATCTTAAGTGAACAGCTTCTTTTCTGGTAAGTGAGGCTGTGCCCAGGAAAGTATTTCTTATAGATAGCACCATGGTATTCTTCAGATTTTTTATTCTTCAAAGTTTTCTATAACCTGCTTCATGAGTTTTCTATCGAATAGGGCCAATTTTGCTTCTCTTTCATAAGACAAGCATCAGTCCTTCAAATTTGAAATATCAGCCCTCTAAATGGAGCTCTGTGTTTGAATGTCAGTGCTGTGATTTTCATGCAGAATATATTGATAGGATTCATACCACCAATCTGTGGCCTTGGTTGGGCTTGGCTGCTCTTGATGTCTATCTAATGCCTGCCCAATCTCTGACACTCTGGTGTACTTTGGGGTAAGGAATAATGAAGAACACAACATGCAAGCATAAAATAATTTGCCTGTCTACCGCATCAGGTCTTGCTTAGCCTGCATACTAAAGCTCCTATTCTCCAAAGCACAAGAAACTGAAAACCCTTCTAAAATGAATTATTTTTATAAAATCTGGATGTTCTACAGCAACTTTATGGACCAGAGAATACACAAGAAGGGAAGGTATGCAGTGAGCCTTGTGAAGGAAGCAGTCTGAATTTAGAATGCAACATTCCTCATCATCCATTGTTCCATCCCTGTGAAAGTGACTTGCAACGTCCTGACATTTTCCCTTTGCATCATCAGACAGCAGTAACACTATTAACAGCGATGTTAACCTTCTATGGCCTTGGCAGAGCCAGATCCAAACAGAGCACATCTGCCTGAAGCTTAACCACACCAGAGGTTGCCCAAATTCAAGAACTCCTCCCTGTGAAAATCCCCCTTCCCCACTGCAAAGGCCTGAAGCTGCTGCTTTGCTGCTGAAGATACCTGGGCCATCCACATTTGTGTGACTTGATTTGCAGTGTATTGACAAGCTGTGTGGGCACTGCAGTACTACAGCCACTTTTTTGCTTCCCCTGGGCAGTGGCTGAGACCAGCAGCATAGCACAGTGCTTGCCAGCTGCCAAGGGTGCAGAGTGTGAACACAACAGAGACTTGGGCCACCTCCATTTCAGCCTGCACAGGTAGCTTTGCCTATCAGCTGGGCTACTGCAGATGGCTGCTGCCCCCCAAGGAGAACAGGAGCAATGGGGAACAGTCTCCTCTGCTTCTTCTATCTCCTGATGCTGTTGGCAGTGCAGATTAGCTGGCTGCTGGTAAGGAGAGAGAGTAGTCTTAAACACAATATATACATGGGCACAGATCATCTGGTTGAAGCTGGGTTCCTGTGCAGCCAAGAAAGACTCACTGCACGCCAGGAAGAGAGCACGAGAGAGAAAATAACCTGCCCATGGTCTATGAAGATGGGCTGTCCTTGGAAAGATGACAGACAACTGATACTCTAGTGTAAATCCAAGGGATGCTTATGCATTTTGCGTAACACACACATGGACAAAGAGTATAAACAAACTAGCTCCCTTTGTGGAATTGTGTTTTAAAGCACTGCCCCTGCTGGGATTTAGTTAATTTATTTAACAATGCAGAAAAGAATATAGCCCTCATCTTCCCCAGGCTATGCTGAATCTTCAAGGCGGATAGATTTTTATTTTGCTTAACTTTACAGAACTGAAGCAATTTTTAAGGCTCCCAATATACTTTTGTTTACCTCTTGTATTTAAACTGTGCTAATCCAAGTCTTGAAATTATATAAATTCTGATGGAAAGCAATTTTCAAGACAGGTGACTGGCTGTAAGCCATTGCTAAACAGAACATAATGGACTGGACATGACCTTAGGTCTGTCATCTGCTCTCCTGTTTGCCCACATCCACATCCCTTCAAATCTTGTAGTGCCTTTTTCTCTGCATAAAAACCAGTCAGTAGATTTTAAAAGACATTTGTATCTTCCTTGAAGTTAGGCAGCTGGGACTGTCGACACCCAAGCAACGGCAGTCATATATAGTGTTTTATTGCTGATATTAATAAACCATGGCAAATTAAAATATTTAATGTTTACTAACACTGGCATAGTAAAAAGAATGTGGGTACGGCTTTATTAAGGCAAATGCAGTACTTCAGGTATGTATTTTAAGTAGGACTTCAGAGTCTTGAGAGGTTATTTTTGGCCAGTCTTGATTTAACACTTACCAGTCACCTTTTGCTCAGTTGCAGGTTGTTGTTTAGCATGCTGCTGGCTTTGCTCTCTCCCTCCCTTCCTCTTTCTCATTTCAGATTATGCTAATTTCTCCTCAAAGTTTTAAAACTTATCAGCTCCCTCACATTTCTTGCATTTGAAAATTAGGTTATCTACTTTGCTGCAGAGGCTGAACTTTTCTGACTCTTGCCTGTACCCACCGTTTGGCAAGAGTCAGTTTTGAGCCTCACTGTGAAGTGTCTTTGTCACTTCATTGTAAGGTATGTCTTTGCAGCTGTTGCCTTTGCTTAAATTAATGCATTACTCTTGAACTGCAGAGAACTCATACTGTATATTTTGTCTCCCTAAACACTGTTTGGCATTATAAAAGAAAACACAATTTACACTGCAATGAAAAAAAAAATACATAAAAATCAGGCTAGTGATTTGAGCTTTCATTAAGCATATGCTTGTGCAAGAACTAATGCTACCACTGCTTCCAATAACTAATGTTACTTACCAGGGCCTCCACTTCTGAGCTTTTCCTCCAACTAAAGAACACCACAGAAATAAAACAACTACAGAAAACCAGAAAACTCAACAATCACTCGTGGCAGTACAGCACATTGCTGTGGATTTAATGGGATTTTCTGCTGCACCTGCTGATCCAAGGTGGCAATATTTGTAGTGAGATTTTGAGAGGTCTGCTTTCTGTGTAAGGGTTGTGTTCATAACCGAACTGATGAATTAAAAGCCCCAAGAAAGATGTTATGAGATTGTCTGATGATGATTACCAAACACTGTTTCCACTTCCCCTAATCACTGCTGATTAGCTAACAAACAAGGATTTGGCACAGCTTTGAAAGGAAAAGGAGAACAAAGGACTGCACCAAATGACAAAAGAAAAAATAAATTCCAAAACACTAAAAAAAAAGCAGAATTTTGATGAAAAAGTGAGTCTTGCTTCTTTAAAAAAACCCCACAAACTTATGACATTAAATGTAAATCCATGTTCATTCTGACTTGTTTGCATTCTATGTAGTCCACCCCAAACCGATGCACATTTAAGTACTATTTGAAAGAGTTAAGAGAATTTTGTACTTTTTACTGAAACCTTGTGGCATTTACTGATTCATTTATAAAAAGCTGTTTCTTGGAACAAAATGATAATCTGACAATCTCATTTGTAAATAAAAGTGCAGGCACTCATATTTGTGTGGTAATGTTAAATGTTCAAGTACAATGAAAAATAAACAACAATGTAATTGTAGGGCTAACATTTGGTCCTATACTGGAAGTAAGTTCTAAGGTTGGTTGTTCTTCAAGACTGTATGGAGCTACTGTAGCAAAATCAAACAAGTAAGAGGCAAGGCTACTAATACAGTATTCCTGGGGTCCTTCAGGCAGAAGTGCCAAAACGTGATGAACATTATTTCATTCACTAAGAACTTATGCAAAAACTGTCATCTTTGGTCCACTGTGATCTCTGAATAAGGAAAGGCTTAATGTGCCTCAGGGGACACAGCCTGTGTTCAGCACTTCTGGAAAGCAAATTTACACAATTTGCACAATTCCTGTCTGGAAAAGGACCCCCAGACAGCTCTCTCAGCATTTCTTGTTTACAGTATTTTCTTCTCAAAAATGTGTTATCACATGTGAGAGAGACGAACATCCTTTCAAAACAAAGAATGACTTCATTTTTCTAGCTCACTGGCAAAAACCAGAACTGCCTGAAGTGGCAGACTTAACAGCAAGTGAAACTAACAGGTCACAGCTTTCTCTTCAACATTGATTCAAGCCATAAGCAAGCCAAGAAGTCCAAGCAAAGTTTTAAATCAGATTCTACTTCCATCAATATCAGAGCCAAAATGCAACACTTCAGCCTGTAACCGTAACATTACAATGTGGACCATTCTCTTTTCATGGCAAAGGAATTGTGTTTTCCAGAAGAAATCTTCACAGTCTGCCTGTGATATGGACAGGGCTTTGTAATATTGCTAAGTCAAGACTGCTTCCCAAGGTAAAATGTTTTAAGGATTTGGGTTTTGTTACTATTGAAAAAGTTTTTCAAACTCTGATGGCTTCATTTACGATCTTGAACTTGTGAAGGGTAATATGTTGGGAGAGTATCACTGCAGACAGATAACTCCTCAGCTCCAAGCTTCAAGTCAGCTGGCATTGGTTTGGATTCACCATTCTGTACTGTGCAGTTTCTCAGCTGCAGCTCTTTGGTGAAGCAGAATTCAATCTGACCAATTGTTTGTGCTTTTTCACCCTAGAAACAGGAAGGATGAGATCAGCTTGATAAGGAGAAGAAATAAATCAATTCTTCAGATATACTGCCTTATCTATAGAATACAGTACTGCTTATTTGTATATTTGCCACTTGAAAAATGTGAAGAGGACAGATACCAGAGGCATTCACTTTCAACAGTTTATCATATGTATTTGTCTTTAAGGAGCAAGCAGACAGGGAAGCAAATTCCAACATAATTCAGTAAGAGTTTAGGGAATCTGCCTAACTAGTAAGCCTCATTATGAAATGCTGTGACATAGAACATCTTAGCATTTACCAAATCTGTACCATACACAGAAGCTGGTCACCCTAATGATGAACCCTGGCTAAAGTCTGTGAATATGGAAGGGTATGTGTGACCTGAAAGCCATCTTTTAACAGCTCTTTCGTAGGATGAGAATTAAGGCAAAGAAAATTCTCCAAAAAGGAGAAAATAAACTCGGTTCTGTAACAGCTGTTACTGGAAAGAATACGGAAGCGAGCTGTCAAAAAGTATAAGAAATGTCATTTTTGGACTAGAGGACAGGCTAGGAAGAATAATACCAAGCAGGAATAAGGCGAGCAGACATGGAAGATGTCTAAATAAAAAAATTCCTCAAAGTGCCCAGGTGTGCATGTGTTAAAAAAATGGTTTTGAAACTACTACAGCAGGACAAAAAAAATACATGTACAAGAAAGAAATTACTATGGTGGGTATTTTTTTGTTGTTGTTCCTTTGGTTTGGTTTTGTAGTTTCTTTTGGTTGTGTTTTTTATTTTGGTTTGATTTTGGCTTTTTTTGTTGTTGGGGATTTTATGCTTTGTTTTGTTTCTTTTCTCCTTGCTGTTGGGTTTGGGGTGGGGTTGTGATATTTTTTTAAGAAACCTAAGAACACAACAAGTGTGTAATGCATTTTAAACATCAAAGCATCTCCACAACACACTTCAGGCATTGACAAGGCTGGAACACTGAGAAGGGCTACCTTTAAATAACTGGAGTGTACTTTTTCCTTTTTATTTACCATTAGCTTCAGCAATTAAGCACAGGAGACTCAAGCTGTAAATTACTTTCACATAATTTGAGCAGTATCCCAGCTGTACTAAAAGCAATGGCAGAACTACAACAAACAGAGCTAGAAACTGGGGTTTGTTTTAGCTTCAACATCAAAAGGTGGCTGAGTGTGCAACCCACGTTCAACTTGTATGCCTTTGTGTTTTAAAGTAACTTAAAAATACATCTGAGTACAAAAACCTCAGAGCACTACTAAAGCAAATGAGCTGACAACACACAAGCTATTAAATTCCAACAGCAACTTTATCTTGGCAAGTTTTCATAAAATTGTTGTCCATGTATGGGCAATAACTGACAAGTGTTTTGTTGTAAACCACTTTTATCAAGCTATATGATAAGGAATCAATTGTAAGAGGGAAAACTATATTGTGGGTTTGCTTTTTGATTTTCTTTTTCAATAAAAGCAGAGTAACCTAGTTGGAAAAGGAAAGAAACAGTTATGCAGCCTACCCGCATAATTGTTCAGAACACCATTTTGTTCCTTCAAAGGCTTTTTTAGGTCAGATACAGTGACCTGTATTTTACACTACTGCACACTGTCTCTCTGCATAGCACATTCTCTACTACATCATGATTCATAGTATAATTGTTAGCAAGGAAAAGTAGAAAGAAATGGAAGTTCTAGACACTGTTGGCTCAAACAGAAAGACTGTTGTCATCTTGCTTTTTTTGTACTTCTTTAGGTACAGACTTTTGAGAACAGCCTCTGAGACAAGCCTCTGAGATGCTTTATTTCTGAAGGATTTTGATCATTGAGGAATTTCTTCATGCAGAATGTGAGTTTGGCCCAGTGAAGGGAAGACTGCTGTTGACAGGCAGTACCCTGGTCAAGGCCACCAGTCACCAGTTCCATTCAGCTCACTCTTGCTGGTTGTAGTAATTTATTATATGGCAATTAAGCTATAGTAGGAGTGCAAAGTACTCAGGTACAGCAGTACCTCTAAAGTGGCGGTTACAGCATTCATGGAAGGGATGCTGGCTCAAAACTTTCAAGACAAAGAGACCTTTAAAACCCAGAGCTCACACTTTCTGGGTAAGTATACTAACAGCAAAGTTACTAGGAAAAGAGTGGACACTTCTTGCACTAAAAATATTTCTGCATTAAGAAAAAACCACTGTAACAGTAACATAAGATGAAGTCAGTGGTGCCAGTATGTAAGCAATGTGCTTTTATGAACTCAACTCCAAGAATTAAGCAATATGTACCTGCAAAGAGCTGTATACGCAAGTAACACCCAGACCTAAGTTCCAACATACTGAAAATTTTTCAATCTTTTTGCTTTTTGATAAGTGCTCTTTGAAAAAATAAGTTGCTGGGTTTTGTTTGGTTCCTTTTTTGTTCGTTTTTCAGTTGGGGGGGTGGTGTTGGGGAGTGTGTGGGGTTTTTACCTCTTCTGGAGGAAGACATTGGATCTTTGGTGTTACACCATAAAACCTTGTAAGAGCTTCTTTTATGGCAGTCATCTGAAAAATTAAAAGCTTATATAAATTCATAAGTCACTAGCACATCTTCCAACGGCTCACACACTTAAGTTCACAAAAATTTAGATAAAGCACTTTAAACAACTATATAATTTTTAAAAGATTACTTATTCTCTAGAAATTGCTCGACTCTTGCTGAAAATAAGTATACACACATTATTGTTTTCTGAAAGACTGTTTCTTACCTCATAATATGAACTGCTTGGCTTTATCCCAGCTTTCAGGAGACAACTGAAATGAAGACGTAACATTTTTATCATGGCTCCTGTATGCAAACATAACTTCAAAATCATTAGATTAGGGCCAGGTAAGACATGCAGTTTAACTGCTTTGTTTCCCCTGCCTTGAGCAACACCCAGGTGCTCTGGTCATCAGGGACGGACAGAGGCAGATCTGAGGCTGCTCTAGACACCCTCATGTTCTAAGACAGGATGGGCTTGCTAGAGTGGGAGGCACACAGCACAGTGGGAGAAGGACATGCGCATGGATCTGGATCAACATTAGGGCAGAAATGTTTCCTAATTAGTGTGTTTTTTGAAGAGAAAAGGTTGTTCACACTAGAGAAACAAGGTAACTCTCAAGAACCTTTAGCCTGTATATGCCTTCCTTTACTGAATCTAAAAGCTAAATCTTCCTGAGGGAAGTCTGTACTTTCAGGGTGACAAGACTAAGGACCCAATAGGTGCTAAGTCTCTAAGTCCCAGCTTCTTCTGTAAGGAGTAGGAACGTTCAGCGTCTTGCAGGATTTAGTCCACGACCACTGATAATGCTCAACCCTTCAAAGGTCAGGTTCTGCATAGGGAAAGTTTAACCCAGTCGAGGAAAGATCTAGCTGTGTGGCATAGTGATTTTACTACTGATATAAGGAAGCCAATAAAATAGATGTTCTGTTATTCTTACAGAAGCCTGCATTATGTTCTCTTTTTAATAATTTGCTTTTTGGAAACAATCTTTTAATCACTAACATTACTTTTTTCATTGAAGTATAAATGAAGTAATTAGAACATTAGCAATCTTTATTCTTTCCAGTAAAGATTAAATTAATTATGCTCATTTTTACAATGGAGAATGTGCTCTGAGCAATTAATTTCAACATGTTTCAGTCTCTATTCCTTTTTGGTGTTGCACATGCTGATAGAGTCGCACAATAAGTCACTGTACTATCTGTAAAATATTTTAGTCACACCATCCCAGCTACTTAGATAACTGTCTTATCAGACGTTATTAATTTTAACAAAATGTCTAGAAAAATCTGATTAAGTTTTACAAGATGCCTACAAAAATGGTGGGGGGAGACCTATTTCCTTTGTATATATGCACAGTGAATGAGACTTTGTTAGGAGATTGTTCTGTCAGTGTCAGAACATAAGCAGCATTTTAGGATTAAAAAAAAAGAAAAAAGGCATGTTTCTCAATACAAAAGAACTTACTTATTTCCTCTCTCAGATAGTGTCACCTTACAGACAGAGAGAATTCATGGTCAACAAATCCGAGTCAAACATTCTCCTGCCCATACCAAGCACTGATCAGGAAAGGACTCTGGCCTACTGGATTTCACCTGCAGCCAAAATGTGTATATACAGTGCTCGGACAAGCCACCCCATTCCCATTAAGATTTTCTATCTGGAATGCCCAGTGATTTGGAACTATGAGGAGCAATCAGCTGCCAGGAAAAAGCAAGAGTGTCCCATTGAGGCTATTTGAAAGGACAGCATAGGGCTGCCTGCAGTGGCTGAACACCACTATTCAGGACACCCCACCTTGCTGTTAACTCTCTGCCTTTTACCCAAGGTGTTCTGATGATTTTGTCTGCAGCTTTTCCTTTCCTCTGAGCAGAGCACTGTCTTTCCTAAAAACAATGTTTGGGCTTCAGTATGACTCAGAAGTTTGGGGGTTTCTGTCACCTGATTTAGAAGTTTACTCGTACCATAGCTTTAGGTAGCAAGATATAGCCCATGCAGCTTCGCAGAATTTACTGGCTCACGTTGTCTAAAATGATGCTGTGAGGAAAGATGCTGTCTTACTAACCTCTGAAGTGACCAGATAAATGCTTCTCAGAGTAGACAACCCCTCCTCTGAACTCTAGCACTAAAAATAATTTATGCTAATACTTGCTTCCTTTCCACCATCAGACTTTTAGACTTTTTTTAAGCTAGACTTGAAACTTCTAGAAACCATTTGAAAGAAAAGGCACATCAGACTTCACTTAAGTACCTGTTAAGATCAATATGATGGTAGAGTTCTAAGGCTTTACCAAAGTATTTCTTCTGAGAATTAAGGACCGCAAGTGTGGCTGCACAAGTGCCATGTTTCTCCCACTCATGTTTCCTATAGGAGAAAAGCAAAATTTAAGTTTTAGAAAACATTACTTGCAGACATATTTGCTGTGCAAACTAGCCAATATAATTAAATCAAGTATCTAAAAGGCTGGATGCTGGAGAGGGACACTTCATCAGGGACTGCAGTGATAGGACAAGGGGTAATGGGTTTAAACTTAAATGGGAAGTTTAGGTTGAATATAAGGAGGCAGTTCTTTACTGTGAGGGTAGTGAGGCACTGGAACAGGTTGCCCAAGGAAGTTGTGAATGCTCCATCCCTGGCAGTTTTCAAGGTCAGGTTGGACAGAGCCTTGGGTGATATGGTTTAGTGTGAGGTGTCCCTCCCCATGGCAGGAGCGTTAGAACTTGAAGATCTTAAGGTACGTTCCAACCTGAACCGTTCTATAATTCTAAACCCAGTCTGAATGTTTTTTTTTTTTGGATGTTTAGTTTTTTTTGGATGTTTAGTTTTTTTTGGATGTCTCCTCTGAATCAGTTGTTTTTTTAAATAATTAGGTGAAGGAATTGATGAAGTAAATCATGTTCCTATGATACAAAGGTCTCTCGATGTATTACAAGGAGATGCTTGGAGGTCAGAATAGTAAGAATTTGTCTAGAAAACAAGTATTTCTAAGCTTTGTGTAAATTTCCATGGAGTCTTTGATGTTAAACATACTTGCAAAGCACTAAAAGCTTTTTAGAACTAAACCAGTAGTTTCACTATTCCATCTTATTCTGGGTGGAATACTGAAACTGCACAAGCGCTAAGACAAGACTTGTTGCCTCAGTTTCTACTTTGGCCTGTGCCAGTATTTTCACAGAACTGCTCTCAAATCTTCCTTCTATTCTGCTATATCAAGTCTTCTAATACCAAGGAACAGAGTGAAAAAGAAAGTAATTTTTGTGGTTTTATGGCAAACTCAAACAGGACAAATAAAGGGTCAAAGTGTAGTGCCTGTCTTTTGAAAGCTTTCAGGAGTACTTTTGTGTCCTCCTGTTCCCACAAAGAAGGCAGAGATACAGAGCCAAAGATCTGATGGCACTCAAGAAGCACACTATTGCTAATCTGGAACTGCTTTGAAGTGGTTTGGTCCAGTTCACACTGACCACAGGGCCCATGTGATGGTGCTGTGGGGATGCCAGGTGAAAATACACAGAGCTACTCACAGGCAGTGCCCACACATCATCAGCTGCAGCAAGCCAAGAATACACCAGGTTCTTTTCATCGGTCCTGTGAGTTTCCAGAATTGAAAGCTACTTTAGAGTCACAACAAAGCAATTACTGAAACTTTCAGATTACACTCTTGACAGCATCACTTAGAACTGCCTGCACAGCCATGTGAAAAAAAGGTAATGATGCAGATACAGCTAATTAAGACCATTCACTGCAGGCATATGAAATTTCACCTTCACCTCTTCCATTTAAATGCAAATTCAAACAGTCAGGAAATGAAACATCTGTAGGTACCAGGGAATAACATAACATAATTTGTTTATGAAATCAAAAGAACTAATGTCTCAATGTTATTCACTATGACACATTATAGTTCACTTAGACCACAATAAGACAAGGTAATTCTACTTCAGTCTCAGCTCACAGCTGGGCGGCATGCAGATACAGAACAAAGCTGCTTGCATTCATGAAGGCCACCCATCCTTCTGTACCTCTTGTACCCATGAGCTAGGCTGTAGCACAGAGTACATATGCTAGCTGTCAAGGACTTTGCTGAACATTTTTTTCTTTCCTTGTAGGATACCAGTACTTCAGCAGGCACACCACTAGACTGGCTTCTACTGTCTGAACATTCTCCATCATTCTCTCTATGGTGCTGCTAAGAATAAATGCTACACTTGTACACCTCAAATCTACAAATGAAGTTTCAGGGGGTTGCAGAAATGCAATGTTATGAAATTGGTACAACTCAGCTGTGTGAAAAGGAAGCTAAACCTCAGAGATTTTTCTTCCTGTTTGCACAACAAGGAGAGAGTTCACCAAATGCAGTCACGCAGATGTGACAAAGTCAGAAGCATATAAGGATGGTCCAAGGATTACAGAAACCACCCATCTTGAAGGCTGGCTTATTATTAGGGTAGGAACAAAGAATTTCTGTAAAATACAGCTGCAAGTGCTGTCCACAGAATGTGGAAGATTAGGGATACCCAGCTGTCCTATAGGCTAAAACTGATTCGTTCTTCTGTATCATATATATTTAAACTGATCCTGAAGGGAATTCTCTTGGTCAAGAAATTTTTATTTGGTAAAAAAAAAAAAAATTACTATAAAAGAGATTGTTTTAGTTAATAAATGTGAGACATCAAAGCACACCTAACCCTTTGTCCTGTATTAAGGCATTCTATTCTGTCCAGTTTAAACTCTTGGATGGCAATTGTCACAGTTTGCAAGTTAACAAGGGGAATGAAGATATGCATCTACTTTTACAGAAGCACCTGCAGCCATCATAAAATCACCAGGAAGATTCCTTGCCCCTCCCCTTTCAAGTCAGGGCTACACTTAGAGGTAAAGCCAGGAAGGAACATATTACATTATAGCAGTCTTGGGAAAACCCTGATGTGCTATACTCAATATCTATTTGCTTGTCACTGCTCGTGCTCTTTACTTAAGATGCCTTTAGTCTACAACAATGAAAACTGTGAACAGTCAGTTTCACTTTCAGATTCTTATTTCTGTTGTACTAGGATTTTTACACTATAGAGTGTGGGGTCTTTTTTTCTGTTAATTTTGAAGTAAATAAAGTATTTTAACTGAAGGAAGGCATATAGTGGGATTTTTACAGCTTTTGAGTGGCTTAAAAGTTTGCATTTACAAAATCTGCAGTTACAGTTGCCAATTACAGTGCACTTGTCACCTTACTGAAAGGGAGTAAACTACTTCCATCAATCCAAATAGCAGTTACAGTGTTGTAACTTGACTTCTGCTTTTATGACATTTCTATTTTCAGGTATCAAAATAAGTGTTATTTGCTAACCTTGAACTGAAAGGGAAAAGGTTTTAATTGTATCTGTTCACACTTGCTGCCTACCAAAATATCTGTGTTAGCAAAATAAAGACTCATATGCACCTGGGTGGTTTTTTTTTTTGAAAACAGGTCAAGGCATGGGAGGTGCTAGATTTCCAACACGTTTTTCTTATTCTAATTGCAGGAACAGACTGAGGTTGCATAAACTTGTGCTATCACAGAAAGAGGTAGTCCTGTTCTCCTTGGCACAGGGCAAGAACAGAGGAATGGAGGGAGGAAACCCCCACTTTTGACAGTTGCAACTTTAGGTTGTAATAACACACTTGTGAAACCAGTTTAAGTCTCTGGGGACAAGTGTCTTCTAGCATCTTCTGCAGAGCAAGGCCAAGACTAAACAGAGATGTACATTCCCTTCAAAGCTTTTCACTAGTGACACAGAGAAGAAATGGTCATCCACGTTAAAGGAAAACTTATGGGCACTTGTAGTGGAGATGGCTTTAAATGCTACTGCCTCTAGCTATGTGCTCTGCTTCTTAGGTGATGTTACAGCTTTCACTGTAGAACTGGAAGAACAAATTGCATACCCATACATTGTCTCATGTAGCTCATGGTTCAGCAAATTAACTTGAATGGTCATTGATTTTAGTTTAAAATAACGCACTCAAACTAAAGCCTGTGCAAACTCAAATACCACCCATACCACTCTTCGGTCCAAGTGCCTTATTATTCAGAAGCAGAGAGAAACATGGGGAAGGAAAACAGTTCTGTTGTCAGGGGAGATAAAAATTTCCTTTGCCCTTCCCATGACCTAAGCAGGTTATCTCTAAATAAATTACTGTATCTGATTTTAGGCTGCTAGGCAAGTAAGCAAAAAGGGAGAATTCTGTAGAAAAGTAAGCAGGATGATCCAATGAGCCCTATTTTCTATTTCCTCCTCTGTGAGAAAGGCCGAAAGAAAACTTCTTTCAAGGCCAGCAACACTGCAAAGCTAGCTGTAACATCCCAGGAGCTACCTTTATTCAGATTTAACATGTCAACAGCAGCTGCTTTTCCTCCCTGCCCGCAAGGGGAGGAAACACATTCTCTCTCTTTCACCAAGTGTCATGTCTCCAACACCCCTGCCATAGCCCTCTTTTCAACAGCTGCATTTTGCAGGTGCTCTAACAAGAAAACACATTAATTTTGTAAATGGGACTGACAAGATGCACTGCTTTCAGTGGCCTCCTGGACACTGCTTCTGGACACTGCTTCTCAAGAACAAAGTCTCACCCAAAGATTTACTAACCCAGATGGACTTTTTTTTGAAATAATATCCAAAATACTTTTTAAGTGGTTGGTTTTTTGTTTTGTTTTGTTTTTTTTTTTATTTTAATACTCACCAGAACTGGGTGCGATTCAGAGATGAATGAAGCACATCAGGCCAATAGTGTCTCATGTCTGATAAAAGATCCTAAAAAATATCACCATTAATAAATGCACATACAGTGTTGAGAAGCTGTTTCTTACATAATCTACATACATTGACACACTTTCTAGAACTGATGTCTGATTTTTAACATCCCAAACTGAAACATTTACTTGCAGAAAACGGAAAGGTCTCTTCCCCCAGTGTTCTGAAAATGCTGCTGCTGGAGGTAACAAGTAGTTACAACTATCTAAATACCTGAATGTACCAATACCAACACACTGCCCCAGTGTAAGATTTTCCTTCAACTTATCCCTGCAGCAGCTGTTCAGTCATACAGCTTTTCACATTTGTCAACATACGCCTCCTATCCCCATTTACAACACATTTGAATGAAATATGGATCATTTTTCTTAATTAACAAAGAATAAAGGACTAATGCCCTCGGAGAAAACATGAAGACTGTCATCTGTACTCTCTTATTTGCTGTGTTCTGGCTTTACAGTAGAAAATGGAAGAGAGAACACTGACTGTAACCTCTTTTTCACGGGTACTTTTTGCCACTGCAGATCCACCTCCTCTGTTCTCTAGACTTTTTTAAGGAGGATGTAGCTGAATGAGTCAAACCTCATATCTACAAAATAAAGTAGGAACAGCTGCTAATGATCACAAGCACTGCAACTTCAAGTAGTAGCAGAAGAACCTAATGAATTTGTGGAGTCCTTAAAAAACCATACCTCTCAGCAAACATTAAAAATGATACATTGTAAGCTACAGGGTTTGAATTTAGGATGTGCAAAAGTAACTGCACTCAGCTCTGCTTGGTGAGACTGTTTTTGCTTTAAATAAATACCTTAATCTCAGTGACATTGAAATGCCACGTCCTGTTACACTCTTCAGTTTTGTCAGGCCTAGGGAAGCAAAATAAAAGTGAGAAAAGATGTTTCCCAACTCACTGACAGTAACTAGCAGCATTCTAGTCTGTATCATTAGCCTGAATTTTAAATATGCAGGATTATAGCTAGAGATTTTCTTTAGAAATACAAGTACCCCATAAGCATCTACACTGGTTTAAAAGTAAAAATTCAAGCCATTAATTATGGCCAAAACACTTCCTCCCCATGCAGAGGCTTTTCATTAGGCTGTTGAGTCCCTCTCACTCTGTGTATAAGTCATATAGGAGGAGTAAATTATAGGGAAGGGTCTCACACATGGATGCCACCAATGACAATGCCCTCCTTCAGGCACTGCTCCAAGTGATGATTCTGCAAGTATCACCAAGACACTCACTGGAAATCTAGACATAACGTTCCTCACCTTTCCAGGATGCATAGCTTAAATCCCTGTACTGATTTTTTACCTGTATTTGTCAGGAAAGCCTTTGAATTGCTGCCACTGGCATCAATCCCCATGAGTTGATTTCTTTGAAGCAAATTAGTTTTGCCTGTACTTTTGCAATATTTGTGCTCAGTTAAGACACTTAAAGCCACAAGCAGTCACAAGACATTAACAAATACAGTGTACTCATGGAAAGGGGGGAGGGGGAAAAGGGAAACTATACTTCCCTTTCTGTTTGAGAATACTACTAATCTTGCAAGCAGATGTACAGATAAAATGTCCATGTGGCAAGAGGATTTCTGGAGCTCAGCAAGTCATGAGATACAAAAGCGTATTTCAGTTCTGTATCAAACCACATGCTTTTATTTCATGGAATCGTAAAACCAAACAGATTAAGCCCTCAAGAAGAAATACATATAAAGAAGCACTCAGCATGCAGGTACAAAACTTGACTTTTCCTTTCCAGACTGAAATACAAACACTCCTATGATCATACCACAATCCATGGATTGTCCAGTATTCTGGAGGGTGTTCACAATCATTAGCACTCATCTGTGGGAAAAAAAACCCAAAAAACATAGTACTTGTTACCTGCAACCAATAGCTTAAAGGAAAACATAAAAGCTCTTTCACTGGTGGTCCAAGGCTCTAATGAGACATGAAAACTTTTGCTTGCCCAAGTCAGGAACTGGTGAACTCCGGTTACTTGAAGCTGTCATGGATTGTGCCACTTAATAGAGCCCAGCTGGCATTAAAGTTTTGAAGCAGATGAAGCGAATGCCAGGGGGCATCCTGAACACACAGTGTAAAATGAAGACAAAGGACAGGTTCTGAAGTAATGGAAAGTAGCCTAATCAATGCTAAGTGTATGTATCATATTCCAGATAGCAGCTCTCAGTGTTTTTATCATCATCAGATTTTTTCAAGGAGTCCAGAATCACTAAAATAAAAAACATCAACATAAACTGTAATATTACACAAGCACACAAACACCTTTAGCATCCAGGAGTTTTATTGTTATATCAAAAGGGAAAAATACAAAGAAGAGATTAAATAGGCTGCTTATTCCAAATAAAATAGAATATAATTTGAAAATATTTTGGCTTAAGGGGCAAGGAAATGGAGAGAAAAGGAAAGATTATATACATTCATACAAAAATAAAAAGGCTCCAGACAAAACTTTTGTTAATGCAGGAGAAACAGTCTACACATTAATTATTGTTTAGAGCAGAGTACATACTCCTGAACAATACAAAACAAATCCATATTCACATTTCACAATATTTTCCCTGATTATTGTAATGGTTGGATTTGATGATCTTTAAGGTCCTTTCCAACCATAGTTGATTCTATGATTCTACTCTGCCTAGTAATTAAGGCTTTTTTTTTTAATAAACATTATTCATGACTAAATAACAACCACCTCAGATTTTCGTTCCCTATACTAATAGCTTTTCTTTTTGGCTCTACATGCTGCCTTAATTATACCACAATGCCTTTTATGGATGCCAAAGCAAGAGCAGAGTGTAGAGAAGAGCAGAGAAGCGTGTAATCTCACTAATTGCCTTCCACATGCCACAAGCCAGTGGCAGCTAAATTGTGAGCTCTGCAAGACTTTCTTGATCTGTGTCCATTTCCTTCCTCTCCTTTCTTGCCACCAATAACAGAGGCAATTAAACCTAGCAACAGGTTTTTTTTTCCAGAAAGGAGCATTTTTCAACAAATATACGTTGTAAGTGCTTCAACAACATCTCTCCTGTCATGGCACAAGCTTTGTAGAGCTGAGTTCAGCTATCTAGCCCAGAATACAGCCAGTTAATACCAGCAGCTAATGCATCATCCTCTTTAAAAAAAAAAAAACAGCCAAACCTAAGCAACCAACTAACAGCTAACCAGATTGCTCAAGTAAGGATGGTAAAAAGAACAATGCAATTGTGTTCCTTACTCAACCTTTAACCGCAGGTCTCAGACACGCTAAAGGAAAGCCCAGAGTATTTTAAATTTGGAATCAGTTCTCCCCTATCACAGCACTAACCTTAGCAGCAGCTTATTCTAACACATTTCATCAGGCTCTCAGTGTTAACACTGTGTGCTGGCAGAACTGTGAGATCAATGCAATGTACAGTGCACTAGTTCAGAGTCTGCATGCTTTTCCAGCTTCATTCATCCTCCTTTTTAATTCCAGCCACAGCATTTTTCCATTGCTCATTTTAAATCAATAGCATGAAATCAACAAATGCTAATCTGAGAAGCTGGGTACTGCTGCTGCTTCTGCAAAAACACTTCTTGTCAGCCTTCCTGTTTATCATAATTATTAATTTTTAAATTAATTTATTATTATTAATTGTGCTGGTCACAGTATTTAAAAGCACCAGCTGCACTCAGTTTAAAACACAGGAAGACCTGGTTGATGCGTACTCTCAAATTTCTGGTGAGCCACTTAAGAAAGGTCTTCAAAAGCCTGAAAAACTTGTGGAGATATGCAAACCAGCTAGGAATTAAAAGATAGGTCATCCACACACCTATCAAGAACACAGTATGTAGCAAAGTAGTCTAATTAGTACTTGCACAAAGTAGTGTCTCACGGTCTTTCACATAAATGATATAATGAGTTCTGTAGTTTTCTTCACCCAGCTATTTTTCCTTTCAACATCATATCAACAGTTTTAAATTGAAGAATGACATTAAAAATATTTCCTCCCTGAAATAACAGCAATCATATACAAATATACTGAACATGAGGAATAATCTACAAACTTAAGAAAAAGCCCACAGCTGAATTTAGGAATCTCCCTTACATTAACATTAGCATAAAGAAAGCTGTTATTGGAGTATGGTTGAGATTCTGTTTCTCCATTTGACTCAGTGATGGGAAACTGAGCAGAAAGTCACTCCTTCAAAACGCTTCTGTCTACCTCTTACTACAGAAGATCATAAGGAATGAGCAAAGTGTAAGAAAAGCCTAAATTTTCTGATGCTTAAGGTCTTAAATTATTCATTGCAATTTCACTGGAAGGCTATAAAGGTTATTCACTGATTCAATGGCACTACTCTGGAAGTAAGAGTAGCAGCCAGCATAAATACACAGTGGGAAAAATGGTTGGTAGGGTTTTTTTATTCGGTTGGTTTGGGGGGTTTTTTGGTTTCTTTGGTATTTTTTTATTATTTATTAATACTCATGTAAGCAAGAGTTTGCACTGCTACAGACTCTGAGTGCCCACTCGTGCCAGGCACTACAAATTCCCAAACACTAGCATCTCTGGTTGAAGTCAGTAAGTGATATTTATTCAGCAGAAAAATCACACAAATTGTAGCAAATCTGCCCTTACTCCCCCTCAAAAACAGGTAAACAAACGAAAAACAGAACAGTGGCCACTCCTTGGTGTCAGTTTGTCATGCACATATGAGGTTTGTTATTGATACTTCCCTCTATATTTAACTAATGTTAAATACATCTAGTTTTCCTCAGAAACTTAGGCAGTATGTGAATTTTATTGCTACTGCTTTTATGCATATTGCCAGAAATAGAAATTAAGAGAAATAAAAAAGTACCTAAAGTACAAAAAAAATAAGACTCTAATATTGTAATAAATAAACCTGGATCTCCCAGAATTTGGACCTTTTTGGCCCCAGAGATTTTAGCTTGAAACTGAAGTTTCTTTATTATCCACAGGGTTCTTCATCCCTGTGTCAGTAGACTTGATCACATCTTCCACTTTGAAGTATAGCATATTTTTAACTTAGCTGTGTGAAAGGAGGCCTTTAAGTGTTTCCAGCATAGGAAAAATGTTCTACTTAACAGATGGCAGTAGGTATTTAACAGCAAAAGGGACATAAGTAGTTCACCTTTTAGCTGGGCTTCTGATAGACATATATTGGAAGGTTAAAGTCATTTTTGGTTCCCATCCCTAAAATACAGAAATGCTTGAACACCCCTGTATAACTGCTTTATAGCTCTCTTTTTTCTGACTGAGTCCATCAAAATCATCATCATCAAAATGCTGAAGCCAACATTACAAAACTAAAATTTGTTGTGCAGCACACCGTACAAGTACTGTCTTCAGTCAGACAAGGCAGGCAAGTCTTCTTACAGAGCCTAGTGAAAATCTAGGATTAAGTTTACAATTAACAAAACATCTCAAAATGTGTAACAAACAATTAAGGCTTAGTGTACAGTATGTCCTACATTGACTGTTGTATCTGCATCACTCCACAATCCTGTCTTGTTTACTGCTACTCTGGAATGAAGAGGAAGTAGCAAAAGGTGCACCAACATCAGTAAAGCCTTTATAAAGATACAGGGCATAATCAAGATAAAATGCTTCATAAGCTTTGTTCACTGTGGTGTCAAACACTGATTGTCCAAGGCTAAATATCTGTCAGGATAAAAGAGAACAAAACACAGAAATCTCACCTTACATACAGTCACTGGCCAATGATGAACAAGATACAGCTTCTTCCAGGTATGAGGGTGGCTGTCACTGGAGAAAGACAAACAAATCAATTTTTTCTCAAGCATTTTAAGAAAAGCAACACCTTCAGTCAGCAGCACAATGATTACTAGTGTAACGCACTGATTTTAGAGCTGGTTGTTGTAACTTCTATTGCAATATTTGAGGACTCCAAACACAGCAGGATCAAACTAACAAATCACACAGAAACAACATACTTGGAAACATGCTAACACTTCCCCATTACTAAACAAATTCTATTCCTGGCACCATATTTCCATATGCTTTCCATTTCTTAAATACGAAATAAACATGTTGTTCTGGTTTATATTTAAAAGAGTGCTTACTGATAAGATTTTACAACAACAATTAAATAAAGAATATATCTTTATTTAGGATGCTAAGAATCATCTAATTCTTATTGATGGGGATAGTAGCTGAGAAGACAGTATACAACACTGGAACTTTAGCTACTCTTCTAAAAAAGAAAAACTACAATCAACCATAAAAAATGTAGCTGACAGGGCACGAGGTGCAATCTGATCCTTCAAGCAGCTCCAATCTTTTAGAATAAACCCAAACAAACAAAAACCCAAACAAAAGACCCAAACAAAATCAGAATAAAAAGTAAAAAACACATCTAAAAAATGCTGAATTTATAATTTCATGGACATTAAATTCTAATACTACATTTTCAAAATGCTTAATATGAATTTTAAGCTAAATCGAGTTTATTAAAAAAATAATCAAACTGTGACACTCCGAAGGCTACTTAAGGAAGAACTGAGGAAGGAATATCCCATATTTTACAAAAGCACTTGTGTTTCAAAGCCTTTTACAATAAAATATAACTCACAGAGGCACCAGTACTATCTTATTCCTATACAGATGGAGGAAAAAATACAGAGGCATTTTCCAACAGTTTTGAGCAGACATACTACAAGTAGATAAAAACCCTGTTGCTTCAGACACTACAGTAGACATAATTAGTTATTAAGCAACCACACTGAGCGATTAAATAGAACAGCAAGTGGGAAAACCAACAAAAACAGAACTCTAAATTATTCTGCCATCTGACAGCACTGTGTGCAGTACTGTAAAAACAAATTTACATATTCTCTAGAAGTTATTAGATCTTGTCCATCATTAATGCTTGCCAGAGATTATATATAATTAAATGAGGCAGCTAATTCCTCTCAACCTGAGGAAGTAGGAATGCTCCCACATTTTATCACTTCTCATTGTTTTCCCCTAGTTTTGTGAGTTTGCAATGGCCACCTTTTTCTCTTAAGCATTCACATATAACTGTGGTTTTTAAATCATTTAGCAGAATAGCTCTGGAACAAACCAGGCATAGCCATAATGAAAATTATTAACAGTTCCAATTGGTCTTCACATCTACTGTGGAAACCTGAATGGAAGAACTCCTCAATACTGTAGAGCAATTAAGGTTCCCTGCTTAAAAATCAAGAGAAAAATGGATTAGGAAAATACAATTTTTCATCTGTATTTGAAATAGCAGCTGAGCTTCTGCAATGGCAATCCTGCCAAAGCAAGTTCTCCTAGACAGTTTCTAGCTAAAGATAGGTGAGAAAATTTTGGTTATTAAATAGAACAAGTTTTAGACACTTAAGCTTGTAACTGGAATCCAAGGAAAGCCTTGGATTTAATACCTATCCAGCTTCAGGGATACCTCCCATCTTTTTGGCCCGTTATCCTGCTCTGTGCAGTTCAGCACTGTGCTTCTGCCACCAAGACGGCCAAGCCACGGCCCAGGTCCTGGGGATTCAGGAGACCTCAGCACAGTGCCTAAGCTACCAACCAGCTGCAAAGTAGCTGTTATATGAAGTGCTCACTTAACTGAACACCCTTAACCCCTCTCTTGCCAAAACATTGAAAGAAAGGAGGAAAATTTATTTCCTAATAGAATGCAATAGAAATTTGAGCTTTTACCACAGAAGCATGTGATCTGGGGCACAGTCTCCCCATGGACCATTGGTATTCAAGCTCAGGTTTTGCCAAGTGCAACAACCACCAAAAGGCTGCCTGGCAGTGTAACAGCCTCAGATGGGATGCTGCATGAAAAGGAATGCAAAATCATTAGAATCAAGAAAAGAGAAAGAGGAGGAAGGAGAGATACTAAAAAAAAAGTGTACAGTGTAAGAGTTGGTATAATTCATGCCATACGAATGATTCCAGGTTTTTGTTATAGGTCATAAAATTATTTCTGAGTTTTGGCATTCCTACCTCAGAAGTCTAAATGATTCCTTTAAAGCAGGATTGCAAAAGTTTTAAGTGCAATGAATGACTTTTACGTTTCTTTCCTTTTTTCATGCTGACACATTAACAAATGTAAAGCTTTTCTCAGGCACGACCCCCACTCCTGCAGTTAATGCAGATGCCTCATTTTACCAGTCACCTAAGGGCAGAATAACACACCAAAAATAGCACATAAAGTAATAAAATTTCCACTCATTAGAAGTTAAACTGTTCTACTCTGCACTTAGTAAGAACTGTCAGAGATTCTAATTTATAGCATAACTTACCTTTGAGTGAATTTATCTGAAGCACACCAACCACATAATGCTATAGAAAACCAACCCAGAACCCAGTAGTGCAGCTTTGCAGGCTTCATTTTGTTAATCAAATAGCTGAAAAAAGACGTTAAAAGAAGAAACATGTTACTTATCCAAAGTACTAAATTACAAGTGTTGAAACGCAAAAACCCACAACTATCTCAGAAACAGCATGTACTACCAACACTGGAGTAGATTTACAACCACGTGTAAAATGAGGATCTCTTTCAAGGCTCTGCCCAATTCCCAGCATGTATGCCAATTTTTATAATCTAATGGAATCAATGACAAGATCATGGTTTCCTTTTTTTCTTTACCTGTACACAGTCCCAACAGAACCACTTTTCAATAAATAATACAAGACTCTGCTTGTGGTCAGTTCAAATTGCATCAAGTGGTTCACTTTGAACTTTGAACTTAACACTTAACATTCATGTTGGCTTGACCAAGGCTGGTATTAGACACCTGCTGGAAGTCAAGAATGATGTCCAAGGATGATATTCTCTCTATGTACAAGTCAACTACTGAACTGATGTTAAAAAAATAAAAAGGTACTGCTAAAACCAGATTAGTTTCTGTTCTTGTTATAAACCTGAGACAGTCACTACAAAACCATGCACAACCTGCCTATGGCCTCATGAACTTTAGAAATCAGGAAAGGAAAAAACCCACCAAACGAACTTAATTTTCACCAATAGTATGACTTTCACTGGGCACAGGTCAAAAAAAACCAAGCTGCCTCCTCTGCCCACCAGCCATTTCACAGCATTTCAAGTGATACTTCCTGGATGTCACAAATAGATGCACATGTGTGTATTTACATATAATTATTAATGCTTCACCAAGCCTACTTTCCAACTTTCTCATTTTGAGAACCCTAAAAAAAAGCACTATAAGACACTATGTATAAACCTATCTACCCCTTTTAAGGCCACTCACTACACAAGTCAAATCCTTTTCTTTGTGAAGGTTTTAAAATTAACTATTTTTTGTAGCAGTCAAGGAAAGCCCGTTCTGACACCAATAAAGACAATGCTGATTCAGCCATTAAGACTAACTTTAGGAAATTCAGTGTAATTCTGATCCACAACTCATTGAAACAAGAGTCCATTCTCCCCACCGTTACTGGGGGGCTCTGGACCCAGCTTGCAGATCTTCCCCAAAACACTACCCTGCAGGTCTGCAAATGCTGTCCAGACCTGATCTGCAAGGGAGGCAGCCTCCCAGCTTGCAAAATGTGCCCAGATTTCAAAACCATGGCTTGGGCAACAACTGCAGCAGTTAACCAGCTAGATTTATCACAAGGTTTTGGTAAACTATGAAGAAACTACTGCCATTAAGATAGCAATCTATTTCACATGTTAATGTCTCTCTAATTCATAATGGATATATTAACAAGATAAAGGCTTGGCCTCACAGAAGGCATTACCAGACAAATATTAGTTGGCAACTACTAATTTTCTGATTTAGGTTGTTAAAAAAAAAAAATCCAGTGTGTGCTACTTGTGTACAAAAGCACTCAATAATGTAGAACTAATGTTTTCCAAAAACTACCTAAACCAAGATGTACACCTTGTAGTAAAGAAGTTGGTATGTTCACATAACATACACAAAAATAGCAAATAAGTAATTAACTGATGGGTATCCAATTCCCCCAAGTATTCTGCATTTAAAGTGGTCTCAAGTCTTATCACTTGAACAGTGGGAATTGATAAGGTGGGGTTTCACCTTACACACCTGTTTACAATTTCACCTACTGTTATTTTCAACTGATAACCAAGCAAGACTTTATCTTTCTGCATGATAAACTTCCTACCCAAGATAAAACACTGAGAGATGTATGGAGGTTTTATGCAATATTCTGCCCTACCTATAACGGGCACATTTCTTAGGAGAGCAGAAAGTAACATTTTAAGACTACACCGCATACCATTGCCAAAAAACACTTCACTGTACAAGTGTGTGAAGAAAAATAAACATTTTAAGGAAGTAGATTATGGTAGAAAAACAAACCAGCAAGCATTACGGCATTTCTTTTGCAAACTGTTATGACTTAAGTTGGCAGGCACAAAGAAACATACTTTTTTTCCCAGTGACTAACTTGCCAAAAAAACATAAAAGCAATTATCTCCCTTTCTAGCAGAACTCTTACATGTGATCAAATACAGACCAGGCACAAAATGGGGCTTAAAAAAATGCTGCTATCAGAACAGTGGAATGTACTGATTTATTCTGCATATTGCTCTACTCCCTGGAACCAGAATATAGGGACAACTGCAACAGTAAGCAGATCTGAAAGCCCTGACCTGTAACTTTTGTATAACAAATCACTTTTTTTTTTTCCACAGGAAAACAATGCACAAACTCTCTCTAGGTCTTTCACCTGGAAGATAATATTGCAGCTATCATGACGCTATCATGATTTACTCAAGCTGACTTTAATTTCGACTGTGGCATTGATGGTGGGAGGTGAAAGTGTGTCAATCTCACCTGGAAAGCACCCAAATGATGCTCATTTGAAGAAATACACATCCAAATTAAAACTCTATTAACAACTAAGATGTAAGAAGCACATCCAATTTTAACAGATTTCTTGTATACTAAAAATTACACTGGATTACTAATTCTACAAATACAAGAAAGTTTAACAGATTTTACACCAGTTCTACTCTAATAAGAGTAAATGGGGATTTCTTATTATGGAAGTTAGCTATAAAAAAAAGTCACAATGTTCCAAAAGACTTCATAACAAACAGAACACTTCAAAATGAAACATGCACACATATATAAAATCATTATTTGAAACTAGGCTATCAATGCATTTTCACTATAAGTAAAACTCAAAAAAACGTGAATAGCGTTGGGATGACTCTTGGTTTACTGTACCTGGACATGAATGCACAGTGCTTGTGTGAGTGTTTGTAACCAAGTCAGGACAAAGTCACTGTCAGCTACGTCAGCACTGTTCAATGCTGGTATCAAAATTCCCTGCCTGGGTTTATCAAGGTATTGAGGACTTGGGAGAGCTTGCAACAAATAGTGATGCAATCTTTCTTGAACACATTCACTATTGTTTGAATTCTAATAAGATAATCTTGAGGCTGCTGACACAGCACCTGCTTCTTTCGGACACTACCAATTAGTATACCTGTATTCTACTCCCCCTTTTTTATTTAACAGCTAGCTTGACTAATAAACCCCATATTTACACAGAATTTCCTGACTTACAGTTTAATTATGGCATACAGACTTAGAACAGAGAAGGGGTTGTAGAATAGCACTTAAGCATTAGCAAGAAAACTCCCATGGCATAGCACACATGCAGCTAAGGGTCCTGAGATGAGAATTAGGACAGCTAGCCTGGCATCTAAAACCACAAAAACGATCACCCAAGGTTTTGGCATGATCTCAAACAAGGCAGCACACATTACCTCTGAAACAAAGAGTCTGAAGGCCAAGTCACAAAGCCAAATGCCCGAAACATTTTGTAACAAGGCTCTCACCTCCAGCAACTTTAACCTCTACAGCCCACTCCCAGCTAACCATGCATCCCAAGCTCGAGTGCTCGCCTAAGTAACTACAAAAAGCGCTTTGAATATTTCTCAGGTGCAACGCTCACGTCCCCTGACACAGCGAGCTTTTAGCAGACCTTTCTCACTACTTCTCTAATAAAGCACAACTCAAAGCAGAACTTGTGCCACACGGGTTTGAGGGCGAGCTTGGCAGGAGCTCGGTGCTGTACTCAGCCCTTCCGCTGGCTCCTTGGGGAGTCTTGAGAAGGCAGCACCTTGCTTTTCTCATACACAAACTTAACGCGCTGCTCTACTTTTGGCACAGCGTTTTAACTTCCTGATACTATAAAGTTCTTGCTCCAGGTAAAAAAACACCCCATTTTAATACAAAGGTCTTTTCATTAACTGTAAAGAATGCAAACCAGCATAGAACCCGAAGCACGATGCTTGCAAGTGAAGGGTGCCAAAGCTGGTGATACGTATACAAAGGAAAGCTATGAAAAGTCTTCGCAACTCTGGGAAACACTGCGTTGTTGTTTTTTTTTTTGGCTGACTTCTGACTTGCTTCACAGGGAATTTAAGGCATAAGAAATGAAACTTAATAGGACTTGAGGCTTTCCAGACCTTCAGTCCCACCTCACCTCGAGACAAGTCAGCGATCTCACGGGTCGCAACATGCAGAAAAGCTCAGAGAGCCCGTGGGGAGCCGAGCGCTCCCTGCCTCCTGCCCGGCTGCTGCCAGCACAGCGCAGCCACACGCAGGGCAGGAGGTGGGAGTAGAATTCTGCGGCGACGCTGGAACAGGGACGCCTTCGGGTCCGGCCTGCCCTGGACCCCAGTCCTCACCTCAGGACCCGCTCCCCCGCGGCCCAGGCCTCCCTTCAGAGCCCCGCGCAGCACCGCACACGAGACGTCCGTGCTTACCTCGCGTAACCCCCGCCCCGCAGCAGGCGGCGGGGGCGAAAGAGGGCGGGCGCAGCGCTCTGACCTAGCCAGCACCCACAGGCCCTGCCCCTCCGCAAAGCCGCACGGGAGGAGCCCCGCCTCCCGCGGAGGCCTGGCAATGGTCTGCGGACGATCGGCGGTAGGGGGCTGTCTCTAGGATGCCCTTCCCCGGCCCCCGAGGGAACATGGATCTCTTAGGTTTCACCGCGTCCAGGCCGCACTGGGGCCGGACACCCATGCGCCTAGTGACCGTGGAGGAGAACATTTACATGCGTGGTTTTACTCATCCTAATGTTTTGGTTTGGTTCTCCTTTAGCATATTTTAGGTTTAATTATTTGGATATCCTACCAAAAATCTGTGCAGTGCAGAGGTGTTCAGAGTGCAGCAAGGATGCTCCATGTTCTTAAGTAGTGTACTTGAAGAGCAAATAGACTGTAGATTAAAGCAAGCCCAGTAAGGGGAACAGAGGAATGCTGACATACAGGTCTTTGATGTACTTCTCCAAAATAATGAGGGAATTTTGAAATGCTAACAGTCATGTTTGGAAACAATAGGAAGCTTCTGAGGATGAAGGAGCCCAAAGGGATGAGTCACACATATCCCAGGTTGGACTTGGTTCAGTGTTTTCTCAGTGCTATGATGAACCAGGGAACATACTCCAACCCCTCTTTGCTGGTGCATGAATCATAAATACAAAGCATGATTATTAAATACTATTGTATGGCTTTAGACTAGGGGAGATATGTAACCACCATCCTCCATTAACACATTTGAGACATAGGTGGGCAGATTTACTTTCACAAGCAAAATAACATTTGTTTGGAACAGATTAATTACAGTCTGTATAATAAGGCCTTTGTTCAAAGTTACAGTATTATTCACATGTACAACCTGTTATTTATGTTTACACATTTACACGGTAAGATGATGAGATTAAACTAATATCTGCCCACCTTTCTGTGGAAAAATGAAAATGTCGTGCTGGATGGAATGAGTGATCCATCTGCTGTTGTTTCTGACAGTGTCTGAGAGGTATCAAAAGTTTCAGAATTGTTGTTGAAGAACTGAAAATAGTGACGCTTTCCAGATCCTTGTATTGAGTACTGCTCCTCCTCCTGCTGCTGAGGGCATCCCCACTCCATCTGGCACTGCAGTCATCGGCACTACCCATGGAGAGTCAGTAGACATGGGCACTGACTTGTTCTTTAAGCCTCAGATTTTGTCTTGTCTACAAACTCAGTCAGCTGATAGGAGCTAGCCCAGCTAGAGCCACAGCCGGCACACTACAGCGACCGCGAGCTTCTACCCAGATTAGGAAAATCAGAGGGGACAGCGCAGAGCCATCGTGATTCCCGACATTTCCCGACACTTCCTGATTCCCGAAGTTCCAGCAGCCCTTGCGAGAGAGCGGCTGACGTGGCGGGGGGCGTTCCCACCGTGAAGGCGGGAGATTTAAATTCGGCTGAAACTCGCTACTCGCATTCAGTCAGCTGACTGGAACTAGCCCAGCTAGAGCTGCAGCTGGCACGCTACAGCGATATCGAGGTTCTACCGAGATTAGGAAAATCAGAGGGGATAGCGCACAGGCATCGCGATTCCCAGCGATTCCCGACATTTCCCGATGTTTCCTCATTCCCGAAGTCCCAGTAGCCCTTGCGAGAGAGCGGCTGACGTGGTGGGGGGCGTTCCCACGGTGACGGAGACCACCCCCCTGCCCCTTGGCTTGAAAGAGCCTTTGAGAGGGCAGCGACACGGCCAGGGAGGAACAGGTAAGTCGTTTTGCTGACCAATATGGTCGTCTCCAGAAAGAGAGCTAACAGTAAGAGGACTGTAGCAACTCAGACAGAGACCCCGACCCTAACCGTAGCTGTTCAGGTCTCTGGATGCAGGGAGTGCCAGAGCCTGCTACTGCCGGGGGAGGGAGGACAGCATTCCACCTGTGTGAGGTGTGAGCAGGTAGAAGATCTGCTTAGCTTGGTGGCTAAACTTAAGGAGGAGGTTGAGACGCTGAGGAGCATCAGGGAGTGTGAAAGGGAGATCGACTGGTGGAGTAACTCCCTGGCTGGCCAGTTGGAACGGCTCCAGGGAGATACCCCCCAAAAGGGGATGGACCCCCTGCCCTCTCAGGCAGAAGGGGATGGCCCGAGACAGCCCCTGCCCTGTAGCTGTTGCCCAGAGGTAGGGGACCAAAAAGATGATGAGGGTTGGAAGCGAGTTCCAGTTTGGCGTCATGGGCAGCCCTCCTCCCTTCCTGCCCCGCTTCCCCAGGTGTCCTCCGTAATAGGTTTGAGGCCCTGGATCTTGAAGGACAGGTAGGTGAGGATGTGCAAGGCCCACCTACAGGGCCACATAGGAAAAAGCGGTCGACTTCACACCTCAAGACTGCCTCTGGTAAGAAAGAAAGAAGGGTCACTGTAGTAGGTGATTCCATTCTGAAAGGAACAGAGGCCCCGATATGCAGAGTTGACCCTCATCATAGGGAAGTGTGTAGTCTGCCTGGAGCCTGGATCAGGGATATCACCAGGGCGCTCCCCAACCTGGTGCACCCGACAGACTACTACCCGCTGCTGGTCTTCCAGACGGGTGAGGGGGAAGCTGCTTCCCGCAGTCTGAGGAGGATGAAGAAAGACTACAGGGCCTTGGGGAGGATGGTGAAAGACTCTGGGGCTCAAGTGATCTTCTCCTCACTCCTTCCATCTTCCATTGATGATGTGGGACTGAATGGGGAAATTCAGTCCATAAACGACTGGCTTCGAGGCTGGTGCTCCAGGCAGGGCTTTGGATTCTTTGATAACAGCTGGTTTTATAGGGCACCAGTCTGGACATTGGCATGTGGGAAAGGATTATCGCACAGAGGCAAAAGGATGCTGGGGCACGAATTAGCAGGGCTCATTTGGAGAGCTTTAAACTAGATTCAAAGGGGGATGGGGTTGTAGCTGGGCTTGCCTCAGTGGGACAGCGCTCCGGAATTGATGAAGACTGGGAGGCCTCCTGTAATCCTAGGGTGAAATCGGTGTGCTCAGCTCGCTCCCTGAAATGTCTGTACACCAATGCGCGCAGCATGGGAAATAAGCAGGAGGAGCTAGAAACCTGTGTTAAGTCAGGAGATTATGATCTGGTGGCAATTACAGAGACGTGGTGGGACAGCTCACATGACTGGAATATAGTCATGGAGGGCTATGTCCTTTCCAGGAAAGGCAGGCCAGCCAGGCGGGGTGGTGGGGTTGCTCTTTATGTGCGAGAGCAGCTACAATGCGTTGAGTTCTGTCCGGGGACAGATGATGAGCGAGTTGAGAGTCTGTGGGTGAGAGTTAAGGGGCAGGGGCGATACTGTTGTGGGTGTCTGTTACAGGCCACCGGATCAGGGTGAGGAAGTTGACGAGGCCTTCTACAGGCAGCTGAGAGCAGCCTCACAGTCACAGGCTGTGGTTGTCATGGGGGATTTTAACTTCCCTGATGTTTGCTGGAAGGACTACTCGGCAACCCAGCCACAGTCCAGGAGGTTCCTCCAGTGTATGGATGATAACTTCCTCATGCAAATGGTGGATGAGCCAACCAGGAGAGGTGCGCTGCTGGATCTCATCCTCACTAACAAGGAGGGTCTGGTTGAAGGAGTGAAGGTTGAGGGCTGCCTTGGTTGCAGCGACCATGAGATGGTGGAATTCAGGATCTTGTGTGGTAGGGCCAGTAGAATAGCAAGTAGAATCGCAACCCTGGACTTTAGCAGGGCAAACTTTGGCCTCTTCAAGCGATTGCTAGGGGAAATTCCATGGGCTAGGCTGCTTGAAGGTAAAGGGGCCCAAGATAGTTTGTTGACGTTCAAGGACTGCTTTTTCCGAGCTCAAGATCAGAGCATCCCGACACGTAGGAAGTCAAGGAAGAGGGTCAGGAGACCTGCGTGGCTAAATGGGGAATTGCTGGGTATGCTAAAGTGGAAAAGAAGAGTTTACAGGTCATGGAAAGAAGGGCTGGTCACTTGGGAGGAATATAAGGCTGCTGCTAGTGGATGTAGGAAAGCTGCTAGGATGACTAAGGCCTCCTTGGAATTAAAGCTGGCGAGAAGGGTCAAGGACAGCAGAAAGAGCTTTTTCAAATACATGGCAGATAAAACTAACACCAGAGGCAATGTAGGCCCGCTGATGAACGGGACGGGTGCCCTGGTGACAGAAGATACAGAGATGGCAGAGTTACTGAATGCCTTCTTTGTCTCTGTCTACTCTGCCGGAGGCAGTCCTGAAGAGCCCTGTACCGCTGAGACCTCAGATGAAGATA